TGTCGCCTCCTGGCCCGCCGCATCTCGGGCTTTCCGAGGAGGGCCAGCCAGGCCAGTGTGGTCAGGCTCGGGGGGTGGGACCCCGGGGTCTCTGGCGTCTCACCATGGCCAGCTCAGAAGGGCCTGGCGTCCCTCCGCAGTCCCGGGAGCCTGGCTCCAGCACCCGCCAAGTGTAAGGTGGAGCCGGCCAGGGGCAGCGCCCGGGCTCCGGTTGGGTCTTTTCGCGCAGGGGTGGCTGGAGCGTCCCTAGTTGGGCCGAGCTGCCCCTTCCTGGCCCAGCTCCCTCGGCCCGATGGCTCCAACCCCCGTTCCCTTCTTCCTCCTCCCTTTGTACTTTGGCCCCGGGGGCGGGAGGCAGAGGTGGAGGGTGGAGTTTCACTTTTTTCCGCTCTTCTCCCTCCTGCAGGAAACAGCATCAGATGACGCGAGCGGGTAGCACCGCTCCCGAACCGGAGGCTGCGGGAGACCAAGCAGGCGAGTTCCCGGTCGCGGTGCAGGAGACAGAAGGAGGGCAGGGCAGCCCCGGCCCCCGCCGAGGTTGTCTCTGATCGGATGGGCCACCCCCGCCCCCTGCATCAGCGTCAGTTAAGATCCTGGCTTGGAAGTGGCGTAAACCCGAGTCTGGTCTCGGCTCCCAAGTTGTGACCCATCCTCTCCGCGCCTCATTCTCACATCTGAAATGGGGACCAGCTTTGCAGAGCTAGTGGGGCGGGGGTGGGGGAGATTGGAGGAGGACAGAACTGGCTGCACCTCAAATTCTTGCAGCGGGTTGTCTAAGGCGCTCCTTTTCCCCTCACCAGCGAAGCATTCGCTTCTTCATGCCTCTTCCCAAGTAGGCAGAAACCCGAGACCTGTCCTGAACTTAGCCAGCGATTGGAGTCAGAATAGTTAAGTCGCCCTCAGCCACAGTGTTGACCCCAATTGCCTTGAGCCTGTCACTTTAAGAAAAACGACGCTATCCTGTTTCGACTATTCCCGCCTGTTCTGGAGTGTCGCTCTCTGCACTCCAAATCTGAGCTCTGACCCGGAAGTAGAGGCAGCTCCAGTCCCCAGACGCTCGTGACGTTTGCGGTCCAGCACTAAAAGGGGTTGACCTAGAGGGAGGTGCTCCAGTGGAGCTGAAATATCGCTGTAGCCCTGGGGAGTCCACGCCTCCATCCTCCCCCCCCCCACCTTCATAGGAAGGCCTTTTAAAAAATATATATATTTCTTTATTGATTTCAGAGAGGAAGGGAGAGGGAAAGAGAGAAACAACGATGAGAATCATTGATCGGCTGCCTCCAGCACGTCCCCTACTGGGATCGAGCCTGCAACCCAGGCAGGTGCCCTTGGCCGGAATGGAACCTGGGACCTTTCAATCCGCAGGCCAACGCTCTATCCACTGAACCAAACCAGCTAAGGAATTGGAAGAGCTTTGCGCCAATTAACAGGTCCTGCGCCGGACCCACACCAAAGCACCTTTAGTTCCGCCCAGTGGTGGTTTTCGCTTGGTTGGCAACGCCTAGGTGTGCGCATGCGCCCACGCGCTTCTACCCTTTGGATTCTCCTCCCTTAGACTTGGACTCTGCGCACGCCCAAAGGGCTCCCGGCTTCTCAGCGTCCCAACGCCTTCTCGCGCTTGCGCATTCATGCCGTCAGGTTTTCCTTTTCCGGGTCCCAACTGGGCCTGTCGGGCGCATGCGCCATTGCAGGCTGGCGGCTCGCGGCACCTTCTTCCGGCCTCCCCCTTGGGCCGGCGCCTGCAGGAGCGGGGCGAGTGTGGATCCCGAAGCGAGTGACCTGTGACCCCGGAAGTGGACCTCAGGGTCCCGGGGCTCTCCCGGACCGGAGCCGGGGAGCCGTCGTCTGCATCCTCGGAGCACCCA